TGTGTTAATGACCACTAATGTCAGTCATACTACATGAAGATTGAATGACAACATTCCGGATACTGCCAGTCAACACGGCTGGACAGCTGGTATAATAATGATGAAAAACATTGACTTATTGTGGACTCACATGGTAACCATGCAAAATTTTTGGCGACTAAAGTGATGTTAAGACTTTATCAGCAGCTTGGCCCCACAGCTGAGTCGGAAGAGTGTTAGGTAGATAACTCAAATGTCATTGGATTGAATCTTGTGGTAACCCAGGTTTTCATTCCACTTTCAGTCAACATCCACAACAAATAATATTAGTCATTCATAGGGAGTAAAACAGCGTGAAACCTCTGGCTTTTATTCAATATCATCTGTTCTAGATTCCAACAGAAAACCCTATATTTAGGTTCTAGGCTTTTTGGTACTAAACGCTATGGTTACTTGGCTTGGTATTTCCAACCTATGGTACTCGAATCAGAGGTGGGGGGATTTCGCACTTATTAACTCAGTGACAACCCTTACAGGACGAAGCTATGCACATTAACTAGTCAACGATCGGTTACTAATATAGTTCCCCAGTCTCAAATGCCTACCACTGACTGTGATCTACCAGTGCGGTGTGCAACGTGATCACATAGCTAAGTGACAGTACACTACCGTGTTATCCTTTATAGTAACTGTAAAATACTATTAAACTTTCAAAATTCACATACCAATCATAACAAAATTCTTTTCTTAAGAAAGGCTATCTAAGGCATCTTCTTCCTCCACTTTCAATTTCATGTTTCATACAGTTCAATGTAGTGCGACTACAAAATGGTGGTAAAACGGATTTAAAGTCGTATTGAACTTTATATCACACAAATACCTGTTTATCGATCTCTCACTGCATAAAATGTTTATAGAACGTAAAAATAAACCTAGTGAGAATAATATGCATTCCCGTTGGATATTTCACTAGTGGTTTTTTCGATATACATGAGTGGTGAAGGGTGAAAAATGCCCAATAATACAATATTGTAGTTTCAAATAAACACACCTGTTTTTAGAAAGGTGAATAAAACAAATAAATACAAAAATGGTTTGCTTAAGTAAACATTTCATACGTCATAAGATATTTTTATTAAAGAAATGTAAGCATGATAATCAATAAGAAAAGAAGATTTCTATCCTTAGTCAAATACAAATGTTATCGTGTACTGAAAACAAAATGCTTTGTTTATCTTCCAAGAAGATAAATTAACTGAATGGTGCTTTTCCTTGAAGTTCAGAGATAATTAAGTGTAAACAAGGATGTAGGTGAAAATATTTCGGTTAAAATTGTTCTCTCTGGATGAACAAAAATATATAATCGCCTAAAGGATAATTACAATCAACAAGTTATTACAGGTTGTTGTGGTGGCAAAGTTCTTGACTGCATGATACAAAAGTTGTTCTTCAAGACACACTTCATATGAGCAGAAAACATTGAGTGAGTGATAGATAGAAAAAATGACGTGTTAGTAATTTTGATAACTCCGCCCTTACAGCTACGCTATTCCAGTTTCCAGATTTTTCGAGTTTCCATACATTTTCAAACAGAAATGATTAGGATCGGCCTAAATAAGCATCCACCACTGGGTTTCAACAGAGTGTTTTACTAGTTAGGTGCTGATCTTGATGGAATCGTGTTCTCTGAACTGGATTGTTTAATCGTAGAGCTTTCGTTGTCATTTCAGACAAAATCATCAGTACAAACTTCAGAAAGAAGTATGCTCTAATGTCTTCTCTGCAATTTATTTAGTAGCTTGTCCTGATGTCCTTGTGTGTGGTTGCTTGTTTCTGCTAAGATCTCGTTGTTGTCTAAATGTTTTTTAAAATGATTTTCGTGATTACCTTAAACCAATCATCCAGTCACAATAAACATGGAGACAACAACGAGACCTAAGTGGAAACAATCAGTCACAGATAAGGACATCAGGACAAGCTTCTAAATAAATTTCAGGGAAAACCTTAGAGCTTACTTCTTTCCGAAGTTTGTGCTGATGATGTTGTCTACAATGACATTGAAAGCTCTATGATTAAACAATCCGGCTCAGAGAACACAATACCGTAAAAATTATCTTCCTGAGCTACAAACATTGTTTATCATTTCTAAATCACAGGCGCTTGTTGTCACGGCAGATACTTCTTGGAGCGACTTTTTATGTAGTTTAAGGTGCACACTCTTGAAGAGACGCAAACTAGAACGAAGAAGATGTTCAACGCTTCTAGGTTTGCAACATTTCTCGAAATAATGTTCGTCTGTGGTGCGGAAGTCACTTTCAAATATCGTAATTTAATGGCGCAATACAAAAATCAAGTCTCACGATTGATGAAGACCTATCACAGAAGACAAAACTTAAAATTCATCCATTTTAATTGTAGAGTTTCGTCATACACCAAAGTGATTTTTCAAACCAATCGGCATCAAAGGAAGGAAAGAAGTGCAATAAAAACAAAACTACATTAAGCAAATTAATTAATAAATTATACACTGCATAACTATAAAATTTTGAGTAGTGATTTTAGTCCATTCATCAGAATCGTCGAGTGACCAAATTACAAGCGATATAGATGGAGCTATGCTTGAATGGTACAGATAGGCGACATTCACTTTTTGATTGACGAATTTAAAGCTCACTTCAACCACTGAGGCATGGACAGGAATGTAGCTGACTGTGGCGAGTATGAACATGCATGTGGTTACTAAGAGAGTTTAATTTTCTTTTTCAAGCGATTCGATATTGTAGTGCGCTGTGCTTAGATGTTAGGCCTTACATGGCAAAAGTTACAAACCGAGTAGTGTTAATAGTCTCCTCTACTGAAAGAATAAAATCACAGTAAAGATATCTTATGTTTATTATTTTTTTCTGAGCATAGATTCTACCACAAAGTAATATTAGTTGGCAACTCCTTAAAAATAAAGAATACTTTACAGGTATTCCAGAACGAGCTAGAGAGTTCTCAGCACTGCAAAATTTAATCTCAGATATGGTTTTTATTGGGTTTTTGTCGGTAGTGACTATACGATTTAAAAAGTGGGTTCAGAACTAAATGTTGTTTTACAATGGATTTCGACTGAAATTTCATGAGTGTTAGTTGGTTTAAGATAATCACCAAGAAACCTTTGATTTTATTTTCGTGCCTCTTGACACTCGTCAGGTGGGTGTATATGGAACCCCAATGGAAATAATGCTGTTTTAGAGGTATAAATCTCTATGTGAACCAGCGCTATAACCAGCAACATTATTAGCAACTTTTTGACTGAAACCCATCGGATGACCATAATCAACGGAAACATATGTTCATAAATGAGGCTACTAAGCTTAACAGAACTGAGGAAGGATTATCTTGTGAACTAGGTAGCTCACCTACTTGGTATGGTGGATAACGCTTAGGCGTTGCGGCCGATGATCATGGGGTTCGAGTCTCAGAAGGAAAAGCGTCACTTACCGGCGTGCAGGTGTTTTCTTTTGTCGATTTTTATACATGAATTGATGATAATGCAATATCTTATTGAATGCAACTCTAAGTTGATCAGTTAGGAATAATTACTTTCATATTTGAAACAGTAAATTCGAGAGACTCCTAATTTAGTGGGAAGATGTAGCGAAGAAAGTTTTTCATCCGGTTACTGAATTTGAAATCATACCGTATATCTAAATTAATTTTGTAATTAGAACTTCAATGGGATTTTGGGGCCTAAATAAAAGAATCTATGAGTTTTCCATCCCGGGATGCCTAAATGTCTTAAGTGATTTCGATAAGGAAATTCAGCCAAGTTTGATTTTCCACAGATGTTTAAAAATGCAAGTACATTTGGGAAACATAAATATCCAATAACCAGGTGTATTAAAAATTTAAGAAAAAGAAACATTGAAAATATAATATTTGAAACAAATGGGTGTATTTTGTAATCCTGTGAAATAATAGCAGATTTCGGGTCAAACAGAAGAGGAAATAAAGTAGGAGAGATCAGAAATTTAATCAATTGCTTCATAATTTTAAAGTCAGACTGTTAAAGAAATGTTCACGAATGAACCTTTTTTAAGATAGCTGATTATTTCATCACGTACATATTGTCTATGAATGCGGAGAGAATAGAGGCTGAGTTTTCAGTCAGTTCTGTCTAGTTCTCGTAAAATGAACGTGCAACAAACCATTAACAGTTAAGTTTCATCAGACAGTGAACAAATAATAACTGCTGCAACCAAAGAACAACTCACTTCACTAAGACATATTTTTCAAAAGGCATGGACATTGAAAGGCCAAGCTATGCATTATTCTGTAATTATTGCTTTATGTAGTTAAAAGCGACTGTACATAACTGCACTTGAGTCATATCAGTTAGGAGATTGAGTTAGGTATATCGTCTTCATCTTTCATTTGACACCATATCACAAATATGATAGGATGACAATCTGTCAAAAGTGAGTTGAACTATATTTTAGAGATTTAAGGGTAAACATTCAGAATGAAGTTGTAAAACAGAGACAGACACAGGCAAAGTACTAAATACAGTAATCACAAAAACTTGTCGTCTTTCGTTCAACTTGTCTACAGATTATTGATTAGGAACTCAATTTGTCTGAATATTCAGTTTCTTTATTTCCATATTTGCATAGTGAATCTATTTGACAAATTAAATGAGTTGATTTGCAACAACCAGTCAAATTTGTAGAAAAATTGACTGGATTACGAAGTATGAAGTCGTTAAATAGATGATACCCCATTCAGCAAGCCTATTTCACTTCATATAAATATAAAATGTTCTTTTCTTCGCTATGAACAATTAATTATCAGGCTTTTTTCTTCTTATTAGCAAATAAAATGCAAACAACCTAGCGTTCACTGTTCACAGTAAATGATGGTGTAAACTGAATGGCAATTTGCTTTTTATTCAGACGTCGCCAATAGGATGAACATATGATAACAAAATGAAGTTGATTTGCCATATCAGTGATATATTCCGTTCTCTATCATTTTAGGTATCAGTTCAAATACGTGTTGTATTTCTGAAAATGGTGAAATCGACACATTAAAAGAAATTTATCATGCTGATGCATTTATTCAAGCTAAATGGAGAGAACCACGTTTAGATGGTAAAACGGATGAGGTGAGTGAAATCGGTAAATTAAGTAGTGTGCAGTATTTTTTCTGTGAAGCAGATTAATTGTTTTTCTTTATAATATCGTTTTTAACCTTGAAGATAAAGTTTTGCACGAATCGGTACTTTACTGAAATAAAGAACTGCAATCAGTCAGCTGAATGAAATTGTTATTTTGTACACCAGAACAATCAATGGTAATTGTCAGAAGTCATTCCTAAATAACCTGAATATATTTATTGTTATTACGCCTACATATAAGTATGGAAGCACCAGTATAACTGTCATGAAAGCTTAATAAATTTCCGTGTACTTTGTAACGGATATAAGGTAATCAGTAATTATGTTTACATCTTAAATGACTTGAGATTTATTTGTAAAAACAGCAAAATTGTTTAAATTTGCATGTCTCCATTTCCTAATCTACTTAAAAATATAAAGATGTGCAACGGCTTAGTAAATATGATGGTTTGTGTTGATTGCTCAACTTCATAGTAGTGTTTGTCACGGACTGAGATCAGCTTGAGAATCATTGAGGACCACAGAGAACTGAACTTCTGTTTCATTCTAGCATGGGACTCCTCAGTATTGATCACTTAGGACCTTGTGATGGATCTAACCCAGGAACGTCATGTTTCTCAGTCAGGATGTTATCATCCATTCATTGAGTTAAAGTTCAGTGGTTTGCACTGTGCTACTTCGACCAATTCGTGATATAGTAAAATGAATTTCCAGAAGCTCTAATGAGAAGTCATAGTTTGTGAGGCTAGCCATGCCTGATGTGAGGACCCATACTTGCTGAAAATTAGGTAATAGTCATATCCTATTGCAAATTAGTATATCTCAGTTCGGATATGGGTGATTGTGCCATATCTACTGATTAAAAGAACGAGCAGCATATGGATATAACGTTTATTGAGAAAACATGCTCCATCAGTAGATTTCAGCAATCATAGCTGACAATTTCTATTTATATATATCCCATGACCAGTTCCTTCAGAAATAAGTGTATGGACTGCACATAAGAGCTATTTACATGAAACCAACATGATTATGGATCCATACGACTCATAAAATGTGAGTAAAGATCAATAATTAATTCTCTTTCACAGAATGCGGTTAACAGTGGTCATGTTATTCTGAATGGTTCACTAGGCTTGACCTTCAAAATACACAAATCTCCCTGAAGTATCGTGTGCATATCTAATTTGTACCATGATGATTCATTTAGATCAGATTTTCGTTTGTGACTTATTGAAGTCTTAAGTAAATGACTACTTAGGTCTTTTTATGATTTTTGTTAAGCAAGCGGTAGAAGTAAACAGAAGGGGAGTGCATTTTGAGAGTGGGTCACTGAGTGGTAACTGTGAATCTCAGAACTTCAGATGCGTCTGACATCACCACTTTCAGTAAAATAGTGGTCAAATAACCTAATGGATTCATACTAATTTAAGCATGGCCTTCCTAGTCATTCTGTGATCTATCTGATAGACAGTTTGTCATTATTTAGCCTGTTGTTCTAGTATGTTAAACTACTTTCTTCATCTTTTTAGGGTGCTTTATAATGAGTTGAATGTAACATCTGTTTCAGATATGCTTCAACAACAGTTTATACTTCTGTAGTTTTTTGACACAGATGTGAATACCCAAGCAAATGACAATATGGTATGCTAGTGAAGTGCTTAAGTTGGCAGATACTAATGTGATAAGGGGGCATGACGTTTAAGTAAGTTAAACTCGAGGTCATAAAGTTTGAAAAGCTGTAAATAGTCACGTTAGTGAGTAGTATAGACAAATAAGATTAATCTAAAGAAAAAAAATTAGTAATAAAACAATTGTTTGGTTATGATACCTTCCGATGTTTTATATTTCACATCTACACTGCGCTTAAACAAATTTTCTTTTGCAATCTCAATGCTTAAAGTTAGCTTTAAATTTTAGAGTCTTCGGAAAATTGATTTACAACGTTGCTGGAATCCTTTAATTCTAATTGACAATATTTTAAGTGAATCAAAGGAGCAACACTGGATTATGACAGAAAGAAATGAAAATGATGAGATTTATATTGTTGAACGTCGGCGTCTTAGAGGTGTATTTCTTGAGACACTGGAATTAAATGATTTCCCGCTGGATGTTCAAGTAGGTTCACTTAGATCATTATGTTTTTGAATATTTTTTAACGAGATATTTGCATAACATTGAAGGATAAACTTCAAGTTTCTAACAGTATACTGGTTGTGGCTGCTACAAATATAATGTGAACGGAGTGAATGGGAAAAATCTTCAGGAAATCGGAAAATCTTATGCACAGGTTCCTTTTTATGAATTTGAATAAAACAATAACAACAACAACAATTGAAGACTCAGGTCAGTGGCTGTGATAACCTAGTCAGTGCTTACCATGCCTGATGAAATTTAGGAGTTTTATTTAGGATCTTCAAAGTAAAGGTTGTGACCCTAGTTGGCACTTGTTGTAACCTCGTAGTAACAATATAATATATCCTCAGTTATATACAAATGGACGCTTGTACAATAACCTTCAGATTCCACACCTTGATAAATGGAGAAGGCGGTTGTATAACAAAAGGTGTATTGGAACTTTAAAAAAAATACAAAATACAAGGTCTTATGTATACTTGCAATAGCTTTGACTGTTTTCAGGCCTTTCTAAATTTGAATCCTATTGATTTTTTGTCTCTTCATCCAATGTGATATTTGCACGTTGGTTCATGTGCTTTCTCCTAAAATTTTGGAACAAAAAGATTCGTTGATACATGCTACAGGGATATACGGCTTCTTATGAAGATTTTGTCAATCTTACTGCATATTATGACAGCTCCCCCTTGAAATAGGGACTGATGGTTTAATAGCATATTTAGACGAACTGGTAAAGCTTTGCTGGATCGGGAAAAATTATTCTTTTATGACCTGTTGAATTTGTGTTGTAAGGTAGTTTGAAGTAACTGAATTGTATCCATAAAAACGGGTAACACGGGGAATGATTCGCTGACACTTTGAAGCAGATTATTTGATGAATCATTTACTCTGCGTTTCGGAAAACATTTTGGTATCGAATTTCAATGTTGTACTACTTTAGCTCTGCAAAAATGCTGCATACTATAGCAATTTTCACAACACCTTGTCAACATATTCACTTAAGAAATAGTTCCTTGAAGACTTTACGGAAAATTCCACCCAATCTATCCAAAGCCTATTCCTGGGAAATCTGTGCCAAACTATATTTGAAGCACTATTATTTAGATTTGTTTTATTTTCCGAGAAAAATTATTGAAAATTGACACAGAAGGTAGCCTGGTTAACTAGTTCACTAATCAATAGCCGGTCCTAAGCCCGCATAAAGAGGGAAGTTTGGGCGTAGGGCTACCAACCCTACCCCGGAAAACCAATGCAACCACTACAGAAACTTCAAAGTACAGACAAAATATAGAAAATGAAAACAAACTTATTTCTCGCTAGAATCGGAGAAACGAAATGACACCAGTTGTTGAAAGCCTTCAGGAAGCCAATTGGCCGATGTGTCTTCGTTTCTCTCGATCAAAGTGAAAGTAAGCATAGGGACATGGAAGGTCTGCACTATGTTTGAACCTAGCTGGCAAGGCTGCCCAGATTGCAAAGGAGATGAGAAGGTATAGAACTGAAGTGCTAGGAATCTACAAAAGCAGGTGGAATGGGAGTGGACTCTCCAAACTGTCAACTGAAGAGGAGTCAATAATCTACTCCGATATTGTCACCCAGACGACAACCACGAGCACAGCACACTGAGTTTTCCAGTGGCCCTCATGAGGATGAGGTCACCAACAGCATCGAAGACTCTCTCTCATGCAGTGGGAACCAATCTCCTCCTGCAGGATCTGCATCATGACAGCAAGGTTCAACTCTAAAGGAAGGAAACTCACAATCATTCAATGCTACGCTACACACCTACAAATAATGCAGATGAAGAGAAGAAGGAGGAATTCGACAGACAACTGTAATCATCACTGGACAAGACTCCAGTTGGCGACATCAAATTCATTCTAATGGGTTGGTGAGATGAATGGTAAACTGGGAGTGGACAACACAGGAAGAGAACTAACCATGGGTCGAGAAGTGCTTGGTGAAATGAATGAGAATGGAGAATTGTTTGTAGAATTCTGTGCATTCAACGATTTGGTGATTGGAAGCACCGTGTTCAAGCATAAGGATATTCACAAAGTAGCGACATGGATTTCACTAGATGGATACATTAGAAATCAGATAGACTTGATCTCAATGTGAAGATAAATATAGATGCAGCCTACTGGACACAAGATCAAGAAGGGGAGCAGATGTAGGTTCACACCACTATCTAGTGCAAGGAACCTTCCAAATTAACATGAAGGCCTTTAAAAAAATTGGTGATGATCAACCACAGTTCATGCTCAACACCCAAAACACAAACTGAAGGATGAAACGCCAGACATCAAGACTAAATGGGAGATATCGAGCAACATCACTGAAGAAACCTGTGTAGATGGACATTGGAACTCTTTGAAAGCCATGTGGAAAGAATCCTACATAAGCGTATTAGGAAGGAAGAAGAAGTAGAACAAGACAAGGAATGGATCTCGACGGACACATGAAAGCTGATAGAGGAGAGGAGAGTAGGATGGTGAATCAGAAGATGAAGCAGTGCAAGGGTGCTCAAAGAGAAGAGGAACTGAGTACAACGTATAAACACTACACTGGACAAAGAAGTGAAGAAGAGTGAGCGCAAAGACAAAAGACACTTGTAGGACAGACACATTGGCAAGTGAAGCAGAACAGGCTGTAGGTAGGAGAGACCTGACAGCATTGTATCAAATAACTAGGTTACTGTCTGGGAGGGAAGAGATCAACACAGATGAAACCAGTGAAAGATGATGAGAGAAATCTAATTACCAAAGAAGAGAAACAAGGGAAGCGATGGGCTGACCAATTCAGAAAGCTCTTCAATCGACCACTACCTGCACCTAGTCCAGAAATACCACCTGCAGCCCAGCCACAGAACTACAAGTGAACATAAGCCTTCCGACGAAATTCGAAGTCCTGAGTGCCATAAGGTTACTGAAATTCGGGAAAGCAATAGGACCAGATGGAATCCCTTCAGAAACGCTGAGAACAGACATAGGGACAACAGTGAACATGATCACACCACTATTGTGGAAGGTCTGGAAGGAAGTAAAGGTACCTGCAGATTGGATGAAGGGATACCTCATCAAACTCCAGAAGAAGGGAGACCTAAGAGTTTGCAAGAACTGGAGCGGAATCATCCTTCTGTCCACCCCAAGCAAATTGTTAAGCTCCAGCATCCTGGAGAGACTAAAGTATGCGCTGTATGTAAAACTACGACTGGAACAGGCTGGCTGGCTGTCTTAAGGAAGTACAATTCACGTGCGCATCAAATTGCAACGCTATGCTACACATCATCATAGAACAGAGTATAGAATGGCAGTCAACTCTCTTCCTCAACTTCACTGACTTTAAAAATACTTTCGACAGCGTCAACCGACAAGTAATTCAGCAACTGTTTCAACACTACGGAATATTACAAAGCTTTATAAACCTCATTCAACAACTATATGAAGACTCCACGTGCCAAGTGATCCACAATGGGAAGCTCAGTGATTCCTTTAAAGTGAAGCGAAGACAAGAGTAAGACAAGGCTGACTACTATCACCCATGATATTCCTGATTTTGGTGGACTGGATCATGCAGCAAACAGTGAGGAGCGAGAAGAGGTGGATACGCTGCTTGACCGATACAGAGTTTAAGATATTTGGATTTCGCCTATGACTTATGTCTGATGTCTTGTCGCACAAACTTGAAGATCTACAGGCGAAAGCTAACAAGTTGACAGAAGAGGCGAGGCGGGGAAGACGGGACTTCAGGTGAATATAGAGAAGACAGAGGTGATGAAGATACCCAACGAATACAACCAACAACAAGCGCCAATCACCAATAATAGGAGAAGCCGAAAGGATGTTGTCTCTTTCACCTACCCAGTCAAGGCAGCATCGTTTTAACTACAGGCGGCGGCTGCACAGACGAGGACGTCAAAGCCAGAATCAGAAAGACAGCAAGACAGGCGTTCATTAACCTGAAACCAGTGTGGAGATCTTCTGCACTCAGCATAAAGCGTGAACATGAACCGGATTTTCAACACCAGCGCCAAGCCAGTGCTCCTGTATGGTTCAGAAACTTGGCGCGTACCGAAAGGCATTTCCAACAAACTACAGACATTCACCAACAACTGCCTACGCTCGTTACTGAAGATCAGATGGCCAGAATAATAAGAATAAGCAACAAAGAACTGTGCGAACGAACCTACCAAGAACCTATCGCTCAACATTTATACAGAACAAAGTGGAGATTGATTGGGCATGCACTGAGAAGACCGACTGGGGACATCACGCGTCAGGCCAGGCCGTAGAGTGGAACCCAGGTGGGAAACGACGAGTTGAGCTTCTGATGGTGACATTCAGGAGATCGTGTGAGGAAGAAATGAGAGCTTGTGGGCAGCCGTGGAGGCAGGTTCAAATGATTGCATAGGACCGAGTGCACTGGAGACGTGCTAATAAAAGCCCTATATTCCACTAGGAACCCAAGGGACAAATAATAATATAATATTATACCTTACAGACATGTAATAGTTAGGAGCAGACAGCAACCTGGTATATTCATGCTTTGACTGGTTGTCAGATACATCACGAGTGTTACAGATTATACAAGTTCGCAAATCCAAAACGGTTCTTCTCTATCTGAGCTGAGATTTCGTCAGCGACCAGCTTCCTAAGCTTGTGTAACTCCCCAAGTAAGTAAAGCGTTTGACCGATTCTACCACTTCACTCCTTATCATGGTAATGGTTGCAGACCAGTCCTGTAGCATCATCTTACATTTCACAGGTCTGGAATGCATGAGAGCCATAGAGACCCAGATTTCTGCTCTACATGACCCTTCGTTCTGTCAGGAGCATCACTCAGTGGGACATCATCCGCATACTCCAAATCAACCAGATGACTTCCAGGAAGTAAGTCAATTCCAGTGAAGTCAGACGTACCTGAGATTATGTTCATTACGGTGCCTGTGATGAAGGTAAACAGAAACGGTGACAATGTTT